CCGGCCTCACCAGGACTGCAGCACGTCCAGGCTGCCCTCGGGGGGCCCCCCGTTGCCCGCCAGCTGCTGCCTCCGCTTCCACTGGATCAGCTCATCGTCCAGGATGACCGTCTGCTGCTTGCGCAGCAGCTGCAGGGTCTTCTGGTGCTTCTCGGCCAGCTCCTGGGGGCGGACACGGCCCTGAGCCCCCGCCCTGAGAGCCCGGCCCCGACAGCCCGGCCCGGCCCCGGCCCGGCACTCACCACGCGGTACCGCTGCAGCGTCTGCGCCTCGCGCTGCAGCCAGGCCTCCAGCGTCGCCTGCTTCTGCTGCAGCGCCGACTCCCGGCTCAGCCGCTCCTGGGGGCTCAGCTGCGCCAGCTGCGTGAACTGGGCTGAGGGGACCGGGCCACCGTGTCACCACGTGCACCCAGGGGCCAGCCCCTGCTGGGCAGCCAGACCCAGGGCTGCAGGCCGCGTCCCAGTGACCAGGCTCCCGGCGGGCCCCGCTGCCCACACTGCTGCCCTGGTTCCCCTCGCAGTGACCAGCCGGCCCGGCTGTGGGTGACCTGTCTCCAGCTCTGCTTGAACTCTGACGCGCCACTAGCTTCCCATGCCTCAGTTTCCCCACGCGTTAGGTGAGGGGGCCTGCCCCTGTGGCTGCGCTGGAGGGGATAACCGAGGGCTGCACATGCGGAGGCGCGGCCCGGCACACCTTCAGTCCCTCGCGGATTCCCGCTCGCCCATCTGTCAGCAACACAGGACACAGGTGGCCACCAGGGCCCGAGCCTTGTGTTCCCACCCCGGTCACCACGCTTCCGGGCAGCCTGGGGTGGATTCAGATGCAGGAGACCTCCTCGACTCAGCCTGCCACACGGGCTCAGGGCCTGCTCCTGAACGCCTGATTTTGTGTCTATCAATCTATCGCTTCCACAGACGTGCGTTTGTGAATTGCTTACTGTACCCCAAACTCGAGGCCCAGTGCTGCTCTACACACACTCACACACACACACACACACACACACTCTCAGGTCTCTGAAGCCACGTGTCCCAGCCGCTCCGAGCCAGGCGGGGCCCCAGGGAAGAAGCTGCTCCCGCCCGGGCTGGGCCGCGGCTCACCCTGGATGCGCAGGCTCTCCTGGTACTGGATGATGAAGTACTCCTGCGCCTGCTGCAGCTTCTTCAGCTCGCTCTCCGTGTCCTGCGTCACCAGCCGCAGCTCCTCGAACGTCTGGCTGATCTGCAGGTGCTTCTGCGACAGGGAATCGGTGAGGCTTCCGGCCGGGGAGCCGCCCTGGGGAGGCAGGGACAGCGTGGCTCTGACCGTGGGGAAGGCCAGGGCCAGGCCCCACTCTGGGCCACACGCTGGGCTGGAGGGGTGGGGACGGTCACCGTGGGGCTGGGGGTGGACACAGGCCGGCTGGCCGGCCCGAGAGGACACCACGCCTGGAGAGCAGAATTTCCTGTTTCAGATCTGAGCAACACTGCAGTGTCCCAAGCAGGGCCCCGGCCCCTGGACAGAGCGGGGTTCAGCGCAGGCTGGGTGTCAGGGATTCTCTCCTCTGCGGGGCTCACCCTTAGCCCACTTTTGTTCAGAGACCCAGAGCCGTGGGCTTGGTAACGTTGGGGGTGCGGGGGGGACCGCGGGCCCCATGTCCCCATCCACACATCCCTGCGATGGGGTCTCTGCCTCTGCCACGGACAGGCTACCCTCTCCCAGGCACCCTGTGGGCCCCCAGGACTTCCGGGCCTGGCATGGTAAACAAGGCCCATGTGGACCCGGCCGGACCCCATTCTCACCGCTGCTCTGAGGGGACAAGAAGTCTCTCCTTGAGAACAGCCCGGCTGTGCTCACGCTGCACCCGAGCACGGTGCCGAGGAGTTGAATTGCTTTGTTTTGTGTTTGAGACAGGGTCTCGCTCTGCAGCCCAGGCTGGTCTGAACTCTCAGCGACCCTCCTGCCTCAGTCTCCAGAGGGCTGGGGTGACAGGCCTGGCACCATGCCCGGCAAGGGTTACACTCTGCTCTGCACCCATTCCCTGGCTGTGCGGCTGCAATCCCAGCGAGGTTTACAGCCCCAGAGAGCAGATCTCCGAGGGGTACCACGGGTGTGCACCCCGGCACCAGGTCAGAGCGGCCCCGCACAGGGCGGCGTGAGAGAGGGCCCGCCCGCGCCGCCCGCACACTCACGTTGGTGGCCTCGCGCACCAGCCTCTGCTCGTTGTAGAGGATATGCCGGATGCAGCGGACCAGCTCCAGGGGGCAGCGGTCGTAGGTGCTCTGAAAGAGGGGCGCCGCCGCAGTGCCACAGCTGAGTGATGGGGACGTGACCGCAGGTGACAGCAGGTGACCTGCGCCGCCCACACCCGGGGACACGGATGCGCTCCGTGTGCAGCAGAAAACCCAACTGCAGTGACGAGGCAGCCGGGGTTCTCCTGGCTCTGGTTCCCCAGCGTCATCCCAGAAAACAGGGTGAGGAGCACCGCAGAGGCCACCCGCAGAGGGCCGGGCATCGGGCTTCTCCACTGGCGAAGCCAGCGTCGCCGTGAGGGGCGGATGCGTGTCAGAGGGCGCAGGTGTGACACCCTGAGGAGAACACAGCACTCGCTGCGTGCTTAGCATTCTTTTTTATTTTTTGCTTTTGGAGACAGGGCCTCACTATGTAGTCCAGGCTGGCCTCAAACTCAAGGCAATCCTCCTGCCTCAGCCTCCCAAATGCTGCGATTATAGGCGTGTGCCACCATGCCCAGCATACTAGTTTATCTTAGCTCGCTAAAAAGAAAGTTTTGTTGTTATGTTTCTTTTTTGTCAGAGTCTTTTTGTCCTTTTTTTTTTTTTTTGAGACAGGGTCTCACTATGCAGTTCAGATTGGCCTTGAGCTCACTTTATAGCCAGGCTGGCCTCGAACTCGCAACAATCCTCCTGCCTCAACCTCCAGAGTACTGGGATTACAGGTGTGTGCCACCATGCCCGGCGTTTTAGAATATTTTTGGTTCATGTCTTATACTCTGAGTAACTACTCTGAAGATAATGATATGTAGCCTGTTAACTACAGTTATTCTCTTTTTGTTTTATTGTGAAATTTTCTTTTTCTTTTCACAAAAATTCTGACTGGGAGTGTGCAATGTCTGATCATGGAGTAACAAAGTAGGAATAAATAAATGAAGGAGCCATTTGTGGGCCAGGGTGGTGGCCGGGGTAGAGAGCTGACCTCACACAGGCCTGGACTCTGCCCCGGGGTCCCTGTTGCCCTGGTGCAGGTAGGTGTGTGCCGTGCAGGCTTCATGGTGCAGGCCCCTGAGCGTGCATGTGATCATGGGGTAGAAATTAAGGGGTTGCCGGGTGTGGAGGCCCAACCTGTAATCCCAGCACTCAGGAGGCAGAGGCAGGAGGATTGTCAAGTCTGAAGCCAGGCTGGATAGACCCCGTCTCAAAAATTAACACAAAACAGAGTAGGAGTACGCTGGGTTTGGTGGCAATGCCTATAATCTAGCTACTGAGGAGGGGAGGCTGGAGCAGGAGGATCACCTGGACCCACAAGTTTGAGGTCAGCCTGGGCAGTGTAGCAAAGACCTCACCTCAAAAACTGAGAGGGTAAAAGTGAATTATTTTAAAACACCAATGCTAAGCCAGGTGTGGTACCACACACCTGAAATCTCAG